GGTCCTGTCGGGTCCGCATCAGTCCGTCCGTCCGTCCTTTTCGGGCGGGGCGGGTCCGTCCGTCCGTCCGCTTTTGAGACCCTACCAGAAAATGGTGGGCGCGCGAAGCGCGCCGAAATTTTGACCACACCCCTTTTGCCGCCCGAAATATGGAGATTTCGCACTATCTAACATGTATCATGCATGCAAATATTATTGTTTTATCGTAATCAGGTAGAAGAAATTTTTCGTGATATGGTGGCTTTGAAAAAGCCAGTTAACAAAAAAATAAGGAGGAAACTTGACTCAGAGGATGAGGAGGATGATCACTGGAGTTATTGTGAGAGACAGCAAACTTGATGACTACCTCGTTTAAGCAGTCCCAGAGCTTGGAAGACAAATCTCTTTCTATATCTAAAAAATAGGTGCAAACAGCATGGAAGATTGACGTTTGCTCGCCATTTCAATAATTAACTTGGGCGTATAGTAATAATTAACTTGATATCATAATTCATAACTTGAATAAAATGGCTGCTGCTAGAGCTCTGGCTCTCTCAGCTTCTTCCTCACTCCTTAGGCTAAGTGACAGTCACAGACTGACAGTATAGTTCCAGTGTTCAATTACACCTGTGGTAATGATAGTCTGACAGTCTCACACACAGTGACACACTCAGTCTTGCCCAACCACCTTGCCCAAGCTTCTGCCCTTGCCCACAGGTCAGCTCACAGAGTCAGGTCGGGCATTGCCCCTATATGCCCGACCCTGCCTACGCCTATGATCCATGAATGTGTAAGTCGATGAAGCCAGGAGTCAATAATTGAGTCTTAATCACATCTTTAACTGTTGGTGGGCGAGTACTGGTAATATCAGTAATGGTATCTTGTACTATACTGACGTATACTGGCCCTTTCTTTAGCTCTCCTCCAGGCAGAACAACCTCCTCAGCTTCTATTACTGTTGAAGCAGCTCGAGTTGAAGTGTCTATACTGATTACTGAGCCGGTCAGCCTGAATTAATTAATAGCGTGGGCGGCTGGGCATGGAGCTACACAAGCTAGGTTAAAATCATAGGTGAAGGAAAGATCCAGTTGTTGCTGCTCTAGATCTGTCTAAAGAAATTTTAAATACAAGACATGTGAGGGATCAGTATTATTATTATTGCTGTGAAGTTCTGTGTAGTATCAGGAAAAAATTATAAAAAGGCAGAATTCTCTCATTTTCATTTTTAACAAAATTTGGCCAATATCTTTGTGAAACCATGGGCTATACTTGGATATTTTTCAAAAATTGGCTGTTTTTAAAAATGCTCATAAATTGATAAATATTTGTCTGAATAAGCTCAAACTTTCTACCAGCATAAGTGCATCATTATGCATCAGAAAGTGTAATAAAAATTTGGGGTGATTTTGGAGCCATTTTTCCGAAAAAAGCATGGGCTATAGTAC